ACAAATATCATTTTGTTAATGTAATGGGCTATGCTAATCCACCTCCAAACAAGACCTTGGTGGATTTTTTCATACATCCACGCATATTTAACTGTCATCAATGTTTAACACTGTCAAACAGAATGAACTTCTTTTTACTGTCGACCAAATATCTGCTGTAGCTGTTCCAAGACAAGTTGGGCCAGTAAGATGGAGTGGTATCACCATTAATCAAAAACGACATGCTGAACCAATTGTTAAAATCCCACTGCAGTAGTCCAGAAGTATAAAGTTATAACATGATGAATTACTACACCCACCATTCTCTAAAATACCCTCTGGTTTTGCCATAAACACAATTAAATATAGAACGTGTTTCTTACTAGTTTTACATTTGCCATTTCCATCCGAAAGACGCTTGGGAAAATTCCAAGAGAGTAGATGTAGCCAAAATTACAGTCCTTTAATGTGAGATATTATACAAAAACATTGCGATATTGGTAAAATTAGGCAATCCGCTAATAACTGAAATTTGTGTTTCAACCTATGAAAACATTGTAAGAAGTTTGATAGTATTTGATTTAAGCATATGTTTTACCTTTTATAAAATATTGCGTAAACTTCATATTAGTTGGTTGAATAAAAAGATTAATGTTAGTTGATATTCACAAGGCAGGGTGAAGCATCGTGGTTCTATGGTGTAGTTGGTTATCACGTTAGCTTTACATGCTAAAGGTCTCCAGTTCGATCCTGGATGGAATCACTTTTTGTTTTTTCACCTGTTCATGAATCTACTTCTTTTATGGTAAATATCATTTTTAAATACAATTTATAACTTGTGGATGGTGTAACGCTGAGCTGTGTTCAATGGAAATTTCACTGCAGCAAAAATATTTAATGAACTAGGGATTCAGAAGACTGATTTATCCTTTTGTGAGAGAAAGGTAAAAAAGTGATTCCATCCAGGATCGAACTGGAGACCTTTAGCATGTAAAGCTAACGTGATAACCAACTACACCATAGAACCACGGCTGCCCATCGAAACTTACAGGAATCAATCTGATTCATTACAAATTTTAGAGTTGATGTAGGATATCAAATTGCATTATGCAAAATCAAAAATTTAACGCAATGTCCAAAATAATTATTTTTCAGTGTTGAAGCTTCACATTTTTTTAAAAGAAAATGGCAATTCAAAAATATATTCCGTTGCTTACGGGAATAGCACTACCGGTGGCAACATTTATAAACCTACAGTCGATAACAGTGCCAGTCGATTTATATAAACATAATTCCAAAGTGATCTGGATGTTATCCTTGTTTTCGTTGCTGTTTGGTTTCTGCAGCACAGTTGCTCTATTCGTTAGGATGCTAGAAAAAAAGATCAAATGGATGACAAGGTAAATTTCACTTGATACAGAATTATTATGATGGGATCACTTGGACAAGGCATAGGATGTGTACTAACTTTGGTCTTCTTTCACTTCACCTTAAAATCTGACGAATCTAAATATACCGAAGCGATAGTTTACAATTTATTAGCTGCCGCATTATCATTTTTCAGCTGGGGACTAACAGTATATCACCATCACTATAATATCGTGCACGATCAGTTGTATTCATGGACCTTGTATGAATTATCACTGGAACAACGGCAATTCATTCTCTTGACGATCGCATCTATATTTTACATGTCCGTAGTTTCTGCATTCTATGGATATCTGGAGGATTGGGATTTCGAAATTGCGCTATACTGGTGTATCTGCACATTTACCACTATTGGGTTTGGCGATTATGCCCCCAAAAATATCTGGGGAATGGGGTTTCTACCTCCGATTACCTTTGTCGGTATTGGCTTAGTCGGTTCAAACATGTGGTCGCTCAGGAATGTGCTATTGGAGTTTCTTGCAATACAATTAGCGTCACAGTACTCAAAAGTTTATGTGGATTCACAGCTTAAAGTAACAACGCCCAGAAGAAAGCCCATCAATAGAAGAATTTCAGAGCCGGTCTTTGATTTGCACCACAGTCATAGTGATTTGGAGCATCAGTCAGAACTGAGCCTTCCATCTAGCAGCAGGGCTATTCCAAAGCCGGGTAGACGGTTGAATATTTCACGATCACCAGGACAATTTAAATTTGGAGTTATGCACCAATCACCGGTGGATGAAAATGTACCGCTCTTGGAAGATCACGAAGAAGGTATAGGTTGGCTAACTAGAGATTCTGTCGATTTATCGCCTCCAGAACCTCAAACAGATACTCTCGAAACTAATCCAAAGACATTACGTATTACTAGGAACAAGAGGCTTCCATCAGTGGTAATTGTTGGCAACGACGCACTTAAAAGATCGCACATTCTTCAAACTACTCAGTCAACTATATCTAGGCAAATTATTTATTCTCTAATCTTGGTTATATCAAACATTCTTGTTTCAGGAATTATTTTTTCTCAGCTGGAAAACTGGACCATCTTGGAAGGGTTTTACTTTTCGTATTGCGCATTTATGACCATCGGTTATGGAGATTATACATTAAAAACTTACCTTGCAAGGTCGATATTTATTTGGTTCATCTTTTTTGCCATTGGGAGTTCCACGTATTTGATTGCGATGCTTTCCGAACTTGCTGTAGATCAATGGACAGTAACAACTAATTATATAGCCAAAAGGGTTGATCGATACGAAATTAAAGCCAAGCTAAAGAAACAGTTCAACAAAAAAGGCAAAGAAAAACAAGAAAGTGAAGAAGAGGATGAGTTACCTAAATCTGATGCTATTGATATTCATCCCGAATCCCTTGGAGAATACGGAGCACGACAGTTTATTCCAGATAGGGCGTCTTACGATGGTACGATGCAACGACATTTTGATCGTCCAGCCGCTTACTCAGTAAGTCTAACTCGCTCAGAAGAATATCATCGTAACAATCCATTTTTATAATATATTTTAATTTTCGCGTTGTCAATTTTTTCAAATGCAATCTCTAGTTCCTCTTGGAGGTGAAGCTTGTCCATATTTTGCGCCATTTTTAGGACTAGCTGGTGCAGCTTGCGCAATGATATTTTCAGCTGTTGGAGCTGCATACGGAACAGCGAAATCAGGAATCGGTATTGCGGGATTAGGTCAAGTGAAACCGGAATTGTAACGACATGTTAATTTAGAATGATGAAAAGTTTGATTCCAGTAGTTATGGCTGGTATTATTGGCGTTTACGGGCTTGTAATAGCAGTATTGATTGCAAATGATTTGGACCCTACTAAAGGTTACAGTTTGTTTGCAGGGTGTGTACATTTAGCAGCTGGATTATCAGTTGGATTCAGTGGAATAGCCGGAGGATACGCCATTGGCTTAGTTGGGGACGCAGGTGTCAGATCATATATATATCAGCCTAGAATGTTTGTAGGAATGGTATTAATATTAATTTTCGCTGAAGTTTTGGGATTGTACGGGATGATTATCGGATTGATTCTCAATACAAAAGCAACAAGTGCGTGTTGATCAAATAAAGATTTGGCTACATTAGTTTTAGCATTTGAACGAAACTTGATTGAAAATGGTGCGAGGAATAGAATTATGACTTTATTGGCTGGAACTATCTATCATTGCAATCATATCGGCGATCATTGTTTTCTCTTTTCCTTCATCCAAGTTTTCACAGTAAACTAGATTAGAAAAAATATACCTTGTAGTACGTTGATAACATTATCCAAGCTCTCCTTAATAGTACCAAGTAACTCTGGGAGTACCTTTTGAATTTCGGGTGATTTTGTAATCAAGAAAAGCATGACCAGGTCAATCATTTGCAAAGTATATAATCCAGCCTCAAGCAAATCAAAATACTCTTCATCTTCCTCTCCCGCATCGACCATTTGTATCTTCAACTTATATTGATCGTGTAATAGAATCAGTCTATGCAGCTTTTCATAGTCATTTTCGATAAACTTGTAAATCAACCGCTGGACTGTATCTGGCGAAAGACTTTGAAATAGAGATGCAATAATTGACACTACGTGTTCCTCTTGGTCTTTTTGAGAATAATCTGGATACAATTTCTTGTATTTTGAATCAGACTTTTTCATAAAAGCAGAAAACACTGAGCCCAAACCAGAGAGTTCAACCAATTGCTCGGCAGCTTCAGCAGAATCGCCAAGCATCAAATGGGATAGTGTTTTGAATGCTCTCATTTTGGCCATCTTTTTTTGTCTTTGTTAATCCAATCTTACTTTATCATGATTAGCATCAACTGAATACCTTCACCTTCCATGAACAGCTTTTTGTGTTTTTCGTGATGAAGTATCAGGCAAAGAATGTCAAAGCAATTTTCCATTAGTTCAACTTCTTCTCCCTCTTGCGGATCTTTTTTGATGTAGCTTGCCAATACTTGAAGTAAAATTTCAATGCCGTCTTTTTCCACCAACTTTGTTCTATTATCTTCTGATCTAGTAACTAGGATTGACAGCAGCTCCGAGCAGTATTGTCGAACAGAGTCGAATTCTTTCCTGCCAATCCTTTCCAACAACCAGTCCAACAGCTTTCCAGTATTAAAAATCTTTGTATCCAGTTCAGGGCTCACAGATATGAAGTTTTCAAATACTGAAAGTGTGTTGAATATCCCTTAGTTAACCACAAAATACCTTGCTTATCATCCAGTCGAGTGTCATCTAATCTACTCAGATTAGCAACTAATAACTCCAAGGTATCCAGTTTAACTAGTTTCTGTACCAGTAGGTCAACCCCTTCTTCATCAGCGGCTAAATCTTCATCCACAAGCTCATTCAACAACTCCACACATTGAATAGAGATATCTGTGTTTTCATGTGATAGGAGAGATAGAATATTTGGTAAGCAATCCAACTCTATTAATGCTGGGTATAGTTCTGGTGCAGAAGATATGGATGTCAAGTTCTTTATAGCTTCCACTAAATCCGCTTCCGATTCGATATATTTCATTGGGTCACCCGCATACTTGCTACGTTGCAGCGTATTCTTCTGCAATGCTCTATTGAATGCAGTAACTAGCTTCTTCAATATTGGTAAATCGATAACTGCTGCTACTTTTTCGCCCTGATCTATTAATGCCGAAAGCTGTTGGTCCAAGTCCGTTACTCTAGCTGACCCGCTGTCTAATTTTACCCGTTTATTCGTCTGTTCTGGCTGTTTGAAAATATCATCAATATTCATTTTAGAGATGCAAAAACGAAAAGTGATCTGACTTTTAATAAATATTTTCCAATATACCGATTTCCACTTACCAGTGTTCTAGTCCAAATATGGCAATGACCATCGTATTAGATAGCCAATAGTCCAGGGATCATCGCGATGTGTCCTTTAGGAAGTCATTACCATGAAATAAAGTAACTAGATATTTGCCTAGTGGGTGTGAGGACTATCTATGCGTGATGACCGTAGCTTTACAAGCAGCGAATTTTATCAGGTTATAAGGGGATTAGTGGAAATTTTCATTAATTGAATGAGATTACAAAATATATTTGGAACAAATGAGACAGGAACGAATGAGATCTCGATTAACATGGAAGCTGAATTTGTTTTGGACGAACGAATTAGTAATTTTCAATAATTATTGGAAATTTACCGATTTGGAAAGTCTTTTAAAACAGTATTTTTAGCCAAAGCTAGAAACAATAAGATCATCGAAAAAACCCGTATCGGCAAAGTTCGGAATAATTTCGCTTTACAAAATTCGCTGTTCTCTGTGTGTCTTTCTTGGCAATGTACTAATTCAAGGCGGAAGCGTTGTCCACGGTGGCACTATAAAAGTACAAAAAATCAAAGTTGCTCTATGTCTACTAGTAACTGCAAAACTATTTTACTGCTATTTGGAACGGCATCATGCACAGTAGTGAACTCTGTCAACAAATTAAGTGGATCATCCTGTGCAGCTGCATGGGGCCAATGTAATACTAAACTAATTTAGGTGGAGGTAAATTATGGACTGGTTCAACATGCTGCGTATCTGGTTATTACTGCTCAGCGGGAAATCCTGTCAATATTTGGTATTCTCAAT